CTTGCCTTCTTCACGCAGGCGTTCCATTCGGGGGTTTGGTCACCCGACGCCGTTTCTGCGCCCGGAGCTCAGTTGCACTTTCTGGGTGTCGGGGGAGGGGGGTATGGGTTCTTGGGGGATACGGGTGGGGGGATGGGGCCGTCGCGCCGCCGTGTTTCGCAGGTGGTGGCGCCGCTTGCAGCCGGCGCGGAGGAGCGCGGCCGCCGCGTGCGCTTCGCGCCGCGGCGGGGCGCGTGCGATTCGCGGTTGTTCGCGCGAAAGTTGCCATGGGCCAGCGCAGGGCGCGGCGCGGGGTATAGGCTGTCGGTGATTATGCGTTGACTTTAGGCTCGGGGAGGCTCGGGTCAGGGAACCATAATCATGACAGAAGGGGACGCCCGCGCGCGCTCGCAGGGACTGCGCGCATCAGAGCGCGCAATTGGATCGTGCGAGCAAAGCGCGTTGGCGACAGCGGTAGCTGTTGGTTTGTTTCCCACCCACCACACCCTGGGCCCCGGTGGGGTTACCGGGGAGAATTGGGATGGGCGCCGGCGTGGACTTCGCCGTGCAAGAGGCGATGCGCACTGGCTGCGAGGGGTCCTGCCTCGGGTCGGCCGAACGTGTGCGTCGCAGGTGCGAGAACGCCGCGCAGGTCAGCGCGTGCGGGGAGGGGGCCTTCCTTCCCTGGTGGCCGCTGGCAGCGGTCGCATCACCAGGTGTAACGTCTGACAGGTGCGCGACATGTTTTGCGCGCGCGAACGCGCCCGCCGTATCCCGACCCCCGGTGGGGCGCTCGGGTCGGCGAGGGCGGCGCCGGACGCCGGAAGTGTTCGCTTTCCCCGTGGGGAGAGCGGCATTACTGGCGAGCCACGCCAGGGTCTTGCCTTCTTCGCGCAGGTGTTCCATTCGGGGGGTTTGGTCACCCCAAGGTCGTTCTGCGCCCCCGGAGCACCGTTGCACTTTCTGGGGTCGGGGGACGGGGTATGGGTTGGGGGAATGGGTGGGGGGATGGGGCCGTCGCGCGCCGTGTTCGCAGGTGGAGCGCGCGCGCGCGGAGGAGCGGGCCGCCCGCGTGCGCTTCGCGCCGCGGCGGGGCGCGTGCGATTCGCGGCGCGCGAAAGTTGCCAGGGGCCGCGCAGGGCGCGGCGCGGGGAATAGGCTGTCGGTCATTATGGGCGCCCTACTCTTTTTTGAGTTGGCGCCGCTCCCAGCAAGAACAACGCTCCCGCTCGAGGCTTCCTCCCTTTTTCCTGAAGACGGTGCTGCTCCTCGCGCCGGCAGCCCCAGTCCCGACAAAACCACGGCTCCCGCTCGATGCTTCTTCCTTTCTTACTCAAGGGGGTGTTCCTCCTCGCCGCCGAACGCCGCCGTCCCAACAAAACCAGCGTTCCCGCTCGAGACGTCGTTTTGTTTTATGCTGGACTAGCGCCCTACTCTCTTCAGCATTGGCTCCGCTCCCAACAACAACACAAACCTGCTCGGGACTTTCTCCATTTCTATTCAGGGCCAGGTCCTTGCCTCACCGCCGACAGCCCCCATCCCCACCAAGGCAATCCTGTCGTTCGATACTTCCTTGTGCTTTACCTTTCGCTGGGGTTCCACTGGCGGTCTCGCATCGGTCGGCGCAGCAAGGTGCGGGCATGTGCTTCCGAGGCGGGAAATGTGGAAATTCCTCGGAGGAGGTGTTTGCAAGACCTCATTGGGCGGGAGATCTGGGAATGAGAATAACGGACCCCGCTATAGAGCAAAAGCCCCCCATTACGTGGATGGTTATCATGCTGGTCGCATGCTTCGTGTGGAAAGATCGCGCATGAGTGTAAACTGATGGTTGTTGTTGTTGTTGTTGTTGTTGCTGTTGCTCTTGTTGTTGTTGTTGTTGTTGTTGTTGTTGTTGTTGTTGAACATTATTTATTCTAAAGAATAATTATTGTTGGGACCCCTGGTGCGCGCCCCCCTCGCCGCGCCTAGGCCGCAGCCACATTTTCATCATTTTCGTGAGGAAGTCTCAGGCAAAACGTGGGTGTCCGGATCCGGTTGTTTTGTTGACGCCCGCTTTCCCTTGCAAAAACATTATAAAATGAAATTTCTTGTTCTAACATAACCGAACTTCAAGAATCCTTTGAAAAAATGGCACGAAGTGCACACTCGCGCGCGCAAGATGAAATCCTTCCAAAACCTTAGTTTTCGTAGCGATTTTAACATAAAAACATGAAAAACCCAATGGTTTTTCAAAACAAAAGTTTCAAAAATTCATCTTGCGCGCTCTTGCGGATTTCTGAGGAAACCCAATATTTTTTCAACATTTCTGTCAAACGGGCTCTTGCGAGCAACTTTTTCACGTGCTTCGAACTTCTGCAACAACGGTTGCGCGCATGCCAGGGCAATCATCCCTGTCAAATAATACCATATTGGACACATTCGTTTTTTCTTCGCGCGCGCACGCCGTCGTCGTCGGCCGCGGGGCCCTGAATAGTAGCCACGGTCGTCCGCATGCCACGAAGTGAAGTGTCCGAACGTCATAGGGCGGGAAGCTGGTGTGGGTGGTGGCGAAGAGTCGTTTGGAAATTTGGTAGAGCTTGAACCGGCCCCCCCACAAAGTGGGGGTATTGCCCGCCTCCTATGAAAACCCTGGCACTGGTGAGAACGGAGTGTCCCCAGTCTTAAATGATTGTTGGTGTTGTTGTTGTTGTTGTTGTTGTTGTTGTTGTTGTTGTTGTTGTTGTTGTTGTTGTTGTTGTTGAACCTTAATTACTAAACAATTTTTATTGTTGGACCCCCTATATTCGCCCTGGCGCTCTCGCCGAGGCGCCGGCCGCATTTCCTCTGAAATTGAGGCTCACGCTCAGGCGTTTTGGGGTTCCGCCAAAACCGGCCCCCAAACAACAACAACGCTCCGGCTCGAGACTTCCTCCTTTTTTACTCGGGCTCGGTGCTCTTGCTCGCCGCCGAGAGCGGCTCCCGGGCCGGACGCCCGGGTCGGCGCCCGAGCCGGCGCCCGGGCGCCGGAAAATCGAGTTCCGAGGCGGCGCCGAAAAAAAGGCCATTCCAATACACATTTTTCTATCGAAAATACTGAATTTCTGCTTCCGGCGCCCGGGAGGGAGGGCGTCCGGGCCGATTCCGGAGCTCGGGCCGGCACCCGGCCCGGCTCCCGGGCCGGACGCCCGGGTCGGCGCCCGAGCCGGCGCCCGGGCGCCAGAAAATCGAGTTTCGAGGCGGCGCCGAAAGAAGGCCATTTCAGAACACATTTTTCTTCCGAAAATGCTGAATTTCTGCTTCCGGCGCCCGGGAGGCCGTCTGGGCCGATTCCGGAGCTCGGGCCGGCACCCGGCCCGGCTCCCGGGCCGGACGCCCGGGTCGGCGAGCCGGCGCCCGGGCGCCGGAAAATCGAGTTCCGAGGCGGCGCCGAAAAAAGGCCATTTCAATACACATTTTTCTTTCGAAAATGCTGAATTTCTGCTTCTGGCGCCCTGGAGGCCGTCCGGGCCGATTCCGGAGCTCGGGCCGGCACCCGGCCCGGCCGGCACCCGGCCCGGCTCCCGGGCCGGACGCCCGGGCAGTTCCGATCGCGCCGAAATGAGGCCATTCCAATACACATTTTTCTTTCGAAAATGCTGAATTTCTGCTTGCGGCGCCCGGGAAGCCGTCCTGGGCCGATTCTGGAGCGGCTTTGGGCCGGACGCCCGAGCCGGCGGCCGTACGTGGTGCTTCTCTGCTTCTGGCGCCTGCGCAGCTTCCCGAGCCGCTTCTGGAACCATATCTGGGCCGGTCCAGCGATAGGTTTCCTGGATGTGCTGAACCATCTAACTTTTTGAGACTTCTGCGTCTCAAGGATAGGGAGAGAAGACATTAAAGGAGGATCAAACAGCAACGTCGCTATGAACGCTTGGCTGCCACAAGCCAGTTCTACTTACTTGGACTACTACTACCGTTGCCACTACTACTAGTGCTACAGCCGCAACAACAATATCATCAACTGCTGCTACTACAACTACTCATCCTTCCTCCCCCTCCTCCCCTCCCTTCTCCTCCTCCCCCTCCCTATCTCTCTCATCTCCCCCTCCTCTTCCTCTTCCTCTCCCTCTGAGATGCGGGGCATGCGCAAGGCGATTGCGAACGCGATGTGCCGTCCGAGCTATGGATGTTGAAGTTCCTCGGAAGAGGTGGTGGCCAAACCTTCTTGGGCGGGATATCTGGGTGAGGGACAATCGGATCCCGCATGCCAGAAAAAATCCCCCATGATGGGGTGTGTTATCCAGATGGATGCATGTGTCATGTGGAAGCATGGCGCATGAGGGTAAAATGATTGTTGTTGTTGTTGTTGTTGTTGTTGTTGTTGTTGTTGTTGTTGTTGCTGTTGTTGTTGTTTTTGTTGTAGTTGTAGTTGTTGTTGTTGTTGTTGTTGTTGTTGTTGTTGTTGTTGTTGTTGTTGTTGTTGTTGTCGCCGTCATTGTTGTGGTCGTCGCCGTCTGGACCGTGGAGACGCGTGGCTGTGGCGACGCGGGGCTTGTGGCGGGTAGGGTCCCCGTCTCCAGGTGTGGCCTCGGAGTGGCTTCAGGCTTTGAAGCTGTGGTTGAGCTGTGGCTGCGGAGCAGCGCCCCCTCCCTCTCAGAGCTGTAGGTCCCGTAGGAGTGGTGAAGTATCGACCCACCTTGCCTGTCTGGTGCTCTCCCCGTTGGGCTAGACATAATTCGGCTTCGCGGTCTGCCCGCTTGGTGCGTTGCGCCACGAGGTGGGCACCAGCTGCACACGCACGGCACGCCTGCCACAAGAATAAGCACAGGACTCCTTGGGGCACGTGTGCCCCCCTGCCAGGATCGGTTTGTTCGTTCGTGCCCAGGCGGGCCAGGACCGACGTGGTCCCCCAGAGGTCTGGACCGGATTTCACTCCCGAGTTTTTTTGGGGGGGCCCAGGACCAGGCGAGGACCCCCAGTGGCAGAAACTAGCAACAAACTTTCCGTCAGTATGTTTTCAAAGTGCGAGAGGGTCTCGGGGAGGGCGTGTGCATCGACGCTGGGTCCATGACTGGCCTGGCACGGGTCGGTGTCTCGGCCTGGGGTAGCTCATGCTGCGCCAGCGTGCGCGCAGGTCGAACGAGCTGTTCGAGCGCGGGTACATGCGCGACCTCTCGGGGCGCGGGGCCCCCAGGGCGCTCGGAGGCCGGGCCCGCGCGCGCGGCTCGCGCGCGCTGGCCGACGCCGCTTTCGCCGTCGTTATTGGCGGCGGCGTTGTTGTCGTCGTCGTCGTCGCCGTCGTCATCGTCATCGTCGTCGTCGTCGCCGCCGCCGCCGCCGTCGTCGTTTTCGTTGTCGTTTTTGTAGGCGTTTTCGTCGTCGTTTTCGTTGTCGTTTCCGCCGTCATTTTCGCAGTCGTTTTCGGTGGTTTTGGAGTCGTCTTCGGAATCGTTTTCGGAGTCGTTTTTGGCGTCGTCGTGTTCGTCCCCGCCCTCTTCGCTTTTGCCTTCGCCGCCGCCGCTGTCGCCGCCGCCGCCGTTGCTGTCGCCGTTGCCGTCGTCGTCGTCGTCGGCTTCGTCGACGTCGCCACCGCCGCCGTCGCGCCTGCCGCCGCTGCCGCCGTCGTCGCCATGGGCCCCTGGGCACGAACCTGGGCGACAAGCTGCCACAGTAAAAAATCCTCGACACCTGGATCTCAGGGGAGGTCTCTGGGCCCCGGACGGCCCTGGCCAGGGAGGCGCGTGGTGTGCTGTAGGACGGCGGCTGCGTAACGCCCAGCGGGGTCCGTCACGCAGCAGCGCCTGGGGCGGTGATTAACGATTCATGTCTTGTGCTCGTGGGCGGTTACGTGGTGGTTGTCGTCGTCATTGAGTCCTTGTCCGTCCTCTCCAGGCGTTTCCCAGCGACAGAGAATGTATTTCCCAAATCATGTACGGGTGCCTGCATTTCTTCCAAGGAACTGGGCTCGTGCGCCGCCGCGGCCGGCTCGTGGCCGCACCGTCGCTGCCCCGTCGCCGCTCGTCGCTGCCCGTGTGCTGCTCTGGCCGGCTTGTGGCCGCCCTTCGCGCCGCCAGTCCAGGCTGCCTGTCTGGGCGCGCGTGCTGGTCCAGCGGGCTTGTGGCCACCCGTCGCCGCGTCATTTGAATCGCATTAGATTTTGAGTGGCGCGCCCAGGGATTGTCGGGTCCCCCTTGGATGATACACTGTACATCTGATTCTGCCCCGTCGTTCATATGAAGTACGAATGCATGCCATGCCAGGGGTGGGATCCTTATCGGCCACCCCGTTCCTCCTTTTCGAGTAGCACTACATACGTAAGACAACATTGCAAATCATACATTCCTCCTAACAATAGTTTGCGCGAAATGTGACGACGTCGACGCGCGCGCGTTGTCGCGCGCATGCCAGAATATTGTAATATAACCTGAGGTTTCGTACGTATTTCAAACTCGAGTTTCCCGGGAACATGAGCAACAATAGTTTCGCAAACGAATTTTCAACGATAACCCTCGTTTGGTAGGGGGGCACGATCTTCGTCAAAGAACCATGCGGACCATTCGCGCCGATCGTCCGCGAGCGCACGTCGATTCTTATTCCAATCCTTTCATCATCGACGCGTTTGCGCCATCATCGTCTTCGGCCTGACCAGCATCGGTGCCGTCATCGGCCTTGCCGTCGTCCTCGTCACCGTCATCGCTACTATCATCATTTTGTCTGCCGTTGTCGACATCGACATGAGACCGCGCCCGCCCGAGTCACCGACTCGCTCTAACGTGCCTGCGCGTCAGAGCGGTCTGCGAGACGCATTGGGGATTCTCCTCCGGACAGTTCCATCGCGGCTGCGTCGGTCGCGCCAAACTAGCTGGCCGCTCTGCGCGCGAGCCTGCGCGCGCTATCGCGACCGCAGAGATGCGCCAGCCGACGCCAAATAGTTATCAACATCGCGGCCGCATGGGTTTTGCAAACTAAGAGGCGGGTGGGTGGGTGAGGTGATTGTGCGAGCACACGAGGTCACCATTTCAATTTCTGCAAGGTGATTTGCGCCACGCAGATTGCACCACATTGCTGGCACCGCAAAACTTGCACCACGTAGATTGCACCATATAGGTTAGATAACAGAGATTGCGCCACATAGGTTGCACCAAATATATTGCGCCACCGAGCCACCACCCCACGCCCGGTTTTATCGGCTTTCCCTGGGATCGTACGATGCACATATCGCCTTCTCCCGTTCGACGTTTTACCTATGACCTCGGACCATCCACGCCCAGCCAGTCTCGCCCCCAGTCTATTTCAAAGAATACCATGCGCGCACTCGTTCAAACAATCGACAGTTTTCAACATGACCCTTTTGTAGCAGACAGTGACAAAGTCGGCGCGCGCGTCGTCCCGCGCGCATGCAGGATTGTAAATATCGGTTTCCCCTAAGCAGTGTAAAACATAGTTTTGTATTATTCCAAAACCGTTGACAATCCATACAACAAAACACCATCGCCACATATGAACGGTCTGCGCTGCCCTCATTTCCGCCATGCCTCCCAAGAGCCCACGAAAGTGGCGACGGTTGCGCAGTTCGAAACCTTCCCAAGGAGCCGCGAAGTCTCGGCTGGATCTGCGTGGCCCCCGACTCCGCCATGCCTCCCATGAATTCACGAAAGTACAGTTGCGCATTGCGCAGCCATCCAGGGAGCTGCGAGGCTTCGGGTACTCGGCCATTCCGCTGTGCCTCCCAGAAGCCCTCGAAAGTAACGACAGTTGCGCACTGCGCAGCCACGCAGAGAGCTGCGAGGTCTCGGGTGCTCAGCCACCCCGCCGTACCTCCCAGGAGACCACGAAACTGACGACACTTGCGCAGTTCTCACCCATCCAGGGAGCTGCGAGGTCTCGGGTGCTCCGCCACTCCGCCGTGCCCCCCCATGAGCTCACGAAAGTGGTAGCATTTGCGCAGTTCGCAGCCACCAAGGGAGTTTTGACGTTTCGGGTGCTCCGGGGGCGCAGTTCGCAGCCACCCAGGCAGCTGCGAGGTCTCGGGTACTCCGCCCTTCCGCTGTGCCTCCTAGGATGCCTATGATCAGGGCGACAATTGCGCAGCTCGCAGCCACCCAGGGAACCCCGAGGTCTCGGGTGTTCTGCTACTCCGCCGTGCTTCCCAGGAGCCCACGAATGTGTCGACAGTGGCGTAGTTCGCAGCCACCCAGGCAGCTGCGAGGTCTCGGGTACTATTCCGCCGTGCCTCCCAGGAGCCAACGAAAGTTGCGACAGTTTGACAGTTCGCAGCCAGGAGGAGGCATGCGGAGGGTGGAGGAGGGGGGAGGAGAAGAAACAGGAGGTGTGCGACACTTGTATTCTATTTCCAACAAGAACCCAACACAGGAGGGGTGGGAAAGGACGCGAAGCACTGTCCACGACCGTGGCGTCGCGCGCGCATGCCAGAATCCGATGAACAAATTCAGTTGTCGTACAGATTTGTCGATTGATGTTCCCGAGCATGCAGGATCAACCAATGGTCTTGCAACCTGTTTTTCAAACAAGTCTGCGCGCGGCCTTGTGATTTTTTTGTGAACCATTTTGTCTGTGTAAAACAATAAAAAATCACATATAATTCCGCATCACATTCGACCAAACGGTTTGAAGCGCGAGGGTGTGCTCTGGTGCCGTATAGTTGACGCGAGAAGCTGACAGCGGCCGCTGCCAGGCAGATGACACTCGCCGTCGCAAGGACAATAACGCGGCGAAACCGATAACCAATCCTCGCCAAAGCGAGCAGAAGGTGCTGCTCAGAATCCGAGTGTCGGCGCGCATCAGACGGGTAGTGGCGAAAAATTGGCGGGGTGCGCTTCTCTCGTGCGCGCGTATGTAAAACATATTTGATTGATTTTGTGTGCTTGCTGGTGTGGGGGGGGGGGCGATCCCTTTCAAAGGATACCATGCGGCACGCTCGCGCCCGTCGGCCGCGAGCGCGCATGCGGGAATCCTTCCAAAACCTTGATCACCGACTCGTGGACACCATCATCGCCATCGGCATGATTGGCATCGGCGACGTCATCGACCTTGCCGTCGTGATCGTCATGGTCATTATCGACACCAGCATCGTGCCTGCCGTTGTCGACGTCGTTCCGAGGGTAGCCCTGGAGTCAGAATGAACGTGTCTGGGGCGCTCGGGTGCCGTGGCGCGGGATGATCGATTTTTTTTGCGGCGAGGACGACACGCTGTACGGACGGCCTCGTCGGCAGATTCATTAGAAGCCCTTTGGCAGGCGAAGCGCCCAGAGACTACGTCGGGCGTCCCCAGCGCGAGGCAGGGACCAGCTTCGTCAGCGGATGGCACGCCTGTTGTGCGACAGAGCGCGCCGTCCAGATTTTCGACCTTCGGATCTCGCGGATTGCGGACACGACGTAGTGGAGCGGACTGAGAGACGCGGCATGGCTCTGCCGCGGCGGCACCGTCACGGAAGGTGGCAAGACCACGGACTTGAGCGTGTCGCCGAGACAGGCGCCTAGGGTGAGGTTGACGGCGGGGTCGGCTTGGAGGACGGCGAGGGCGGCGTTCGGGTGGCAGTGGGCTGGTGCCGCTCGGAGGTGGACGGTTCTGCTGTAGAGCGTTCGGAGGTGGGCGAGCGCGGTCGGTGCTTCGGCGCGGTGGGGGGGGGGCAGACCGAGGTCCGAAGCTGAATTCTTACTCCTCCTCCGCTGTTTTGAAAAAAAGACAGATGCGCGTCAGGCGCCCGGCGGCATAATGCGCGGCGTGTCGCGAGCCCAGAGGCGGCTTGAGTAGCGCTGTGTGCGCGCGTAGGGACTGGCGCGCCGTGTGCGGGGGCGTGCGCGGATCTGGGGGCGCGTATCTGGGGGCGCGAGGAGAGCCCGAAAAGGGGCGCTAGGCGGCCCTGCGGCGGGGCTTCCCTGTCCGATTTCTGGTTTCGGCAAACCGCCCGTGACGGACGGTTTGCTCGGGTGCAAACCGCCCGTCACGGGCAGTTTGCCTCACGGCGACCGCTGGGTTCCAAGACGTTGGAAGCGGCCCCAGAGAGAGGCCCGAGACAGCCCGGGGGGCTCCCACGTCGGCCCAAGAGGGCCCCGAGATAGCCCGAGAGGACCCAAGAGCGGCTCAGGCGGGCCCCAAGAGTGCCCACATGGGGGCCCAACACGGCCCCGTGGCAGGGCTTCCCACTCCGATGTCTGCTCGGGGCAGCCGTCGCGGCATTTAT